CTCATCTTTCTCGCAGAGCAGCTGGTGGGTTTGAACTGCCGACCTTTTGGTTAGCAGCCAAATGCTTTAACCACTGCATCACCAGAGCTCCTGTACGTGTAACTACTTTCACAAAATAAATAGATACAAGAAAAACTAAAATAAACACACATTTCCAATGACTTAGTCATTGCAGTGGGAAGAAAACATAATAGCTCTTCTTCTATGGAAACATCTAATTATATGACACCATGTCATAATTTAGGAGCTCTGGTGGCATAGCGCCTAAAGCACTTGACTGCTAACCAGAAGGCCAGTGGTTCAAAGCCACCCCTCAGAAGGAAGGTTGGGCAATCTACTTCTGTAGTGATACTGCCTTGGAAACCTAAGGAGAGGTCGCTATGAGTCGGATCCGACTCAACAGCAGTGAGTTTGGTTTTTGGTTTTTGTGTTGTAATTTGATGTTCTGCTCACAAACAGCTGAGGGGAGCAATGTGAAGCCCACCTCTTCAATTCAGAGTTCTTACAACTTCAAAGGCAAATAATGCAGAGTGCCACCAGAGGTGCTTTCTGAGGACAAAGGTCACACGTACACACACAGAAAAAAATGTCACTGTAATGTGCTTTAAAGCAGTAAAATTCTTCAATTCTCTAAATGTCTATTGACTTGGTGATAATTTTGAAAAAAAGAAAAAAGGTACTGCAATGGACTGACCAGAATGGAAATGATGAAAATGCTCATGTATTGTGAAAAATGTAAGCAATGTCCCTGAACAATTGTGTAGAGATTGTGGAATGGATCTATACTGTTGTGTAAACCTTCACTGAAAACACAATCAGATAGCATTAAAAAAAAAAAAAGGAAAAGGGAGGGGAGGAGGTATTGCAAACCAATGGAATATAACGTAATCATTTAAAATGCAAGTGATAAAATTAAGTGAAGGACACAATTCAAAATTTCATCTATTTTCCAAGGTCAAAAACCAAAATGCGTATGATTGTTGAATAGAAAACTGATTTGCTCTCTAAACTTGCACCGAAACCATAATAAAAAGTTCAAAAAACAAAGTTAATCTATTCTAGTATTCGAATACATGCATATGAAAGAGGAGTATGGGAAAGTCAGAGCTGGTCTGTAAGCAGATGCAAAAAGGACAAGGAGGTGGCATCCTCTGAGCTCCTCTGACTTCCCGAGGAGGAGACAGAACCATCAGCAGCCCAAGGCTTATTCCTATGAGGGCACACATAGCGTCACCCTCTTTACCTGTTCTGACACCAACCATTCTTCCCACGGCACTCACTACTTCTCCGCTGGGTTCAAGAATTCATTGCAATGGCCACACAGAACTCACAGACAATACTCACAGGGTTTATTAGGGAAGTAACAGGCTACAATTCAGGTTCAGGAACACCCAGGATATAGTTCTTCAATAAGGGAAGTCTCCCCTCTGCTATGCCCTCAGCCACACCTGTGTAGCCCTGCTCCGGCAAATGTTACAAAGTTCTTTTAGCTTTGTTGATAGGTGCACCAAGGGGCGCCCCACTCTGCCAGCAAGCCTCCTGCCCAAAGGCACTCAGCTTTCTTGGGCCAGCAACCCCCCAGCTCTGTCTCATGCTTCTTGGTTCCTTTGCGGTCATCTCAGCTGTTCGGTCACCTCTGCCAAGGAGGTCCTGTGCAGGGATCTCAGGACAAGGACACGTTCCACTCCACCTCTAGTTCTTCTCTCTTGATGGCAGTGAGATCCCCTCTTCTGCTTCTAGGAGGGCTCATTTTAATTTAAGTCCAGCAGCATAGCAAAACTAACGAGTCCTCACATTAGAGTTCCACACACCTACCTTATTTGCAAGATCCCACCCAGTAGTCTGGTGGGAGTCACAAAGACCATGGCTAGAAAAGGAATTCAAGGAATTCATGGCACCATAGCAGAGCAATTACTGTTATCTATTTAAAATTTCCATTATTTTTTTCAAAGACTGATAATTAAGATGATGAAATAAACAATTCACACATACGTATTTCTGGCACACGACCTGCATGCAAGATCTGTGGTTTACCATTCACAGTCCCAAGGAAGAGAAAGAAGACATGTCTCATCTTTGAGAAGTAAAATCACCTTTTAAGAGACAGGAAGGAATGGCCTACTTACCTGAAACTTGGTCATTTTCTCCTGTTCCTTCCAGGAAAGGTCAGAGTCCTGAGCAGGCATATCTGGGAAGGACAAGGAAGCCATGAGATGCAGGCCTTAGTGTCTGTCTGTCTTGTCTGTCTCCTCCTCACTGTCTCCCCTAGCTGTGCAAGCTTGGATTCTTTCACTATTTTAATGATTGCCAAGTCCACAGGCCTTCAGTAACCCTCCTGGACAGGTACATAGCTCTTCCTCTCTTCTCTCAAGATGCATGCCCTATCCACACGCTGCAGCATCCACAAAATAAAGACTGTCCCTACTCTCAGGCAGGCACAGTCATATTCAGCTTGGTAAGAAGAGTGTGGTGTAGATTCCAGACACAAGTAGGTCTGTCAGCCCATGGCTACTGGGCAGTGAACCACCAAATGCAGTACCTCACTATCAGTATTTCTGATCCTGGGATGGCAGCACATGAGAGGCTGAGTAACACCATGTGGGTTAATAAAAAGTAGGCTCTAAAGTCAACGGTGAGGAAGCAGAGGCAGGGACCCAGGTAAGGCCAGGGACCCA